AGGAGGTCATCGCCGAAACTGATGCGTATTTTGAGGGTCAGCCAAAATCGTTCTACAAAACCGGCATCGAACGTTTGGAAAGGCGTTGGACTGATTGTATTGCCTTAAAAGGAAACTATATTGATGAATAAATTCGAATTTTTATGTAACACTTGTGTTTTCTTTGCTAGACCGGGGACTTATTGACCGATGTGTTAGTATTGAAAATGTTGAAAGTAACGGAAAAATTTTTTGTTTTTAATAGAACTTGGAAATTCCGTATTTTTACACGAAACTTCTTCTCATCGCTTTTTAAGACAATAGTAATTGTAACAGACTATTACATCAGAAGATTGAAACATAATTCAACTCTCCTGACTTCTATTCATGTTGTTAATTCATACTATAAGCGAGAAGAAATTATTTAAACATTTAAATTGTGATCATTGCGATTGTAATTTTATGTAACTTTTTCTTAGTAATTCTTCATGTAATTTTAATTTAACAATATTGTAACATCTTCCGACTAGCGTTATAGCTTGTAAGATTTTTATTTTTTGTCATCTTGTTGTATTGATGATGGTCAAATCTTGACTAAAACGTCTACTTATTTATTTATTTGAATTTTAAATATGTGACTTGTGTGCGTTACCATCTATTGTTGTGGCTGTATGCTCTTTATTATTTATATTTTGCAAAAATAATACTCAATTTTTTTCAAGATGTAGGGAAAGACTAACGTTTTAGTTTTGAAAAGCATGAGTATGGATCAAACTAAACGCACAAATATAATTTCGAATGTTTTATGTCAAAACGTTTCGTGTGGCAGAAAACATTCAAAATACAAAGTTTTCTGTTTTTATTGATGAAATGTCAGATATTTTGAATAAAAAATAGATGACGTTTGATGTTCGATATGTATTGTATATCAAGAAACTTTAGAAATTCAGTTGTAATTAGTAAAGCTAATAGATCTTCATGCGGCAGATTGTAGTGCGGAAAAATTATTTAACACATTTAAAAACAAAATGTAAAAAATTAAGATACCTTTCCAAAATATTGTTGCTTTGTCATGCGTCTGTTATAACCGAAAAATATTTATCCTTCAAGATAAAATTAGAAGAAAAATGCAAAAATTTATTGACATTTTCATGTTCATGTCATTCAGCCGCATTAATTGCATATGCTGCATGCGTAAAAATACCCCAATATTGCGAAGAATTTCTAAAGAAAATTGCAAATTAATAACAGTCCCAAGAGAATTATCATATCGCGATGTTTGTAAATGTTTTCAAGAAAATATTCACAAAATTTTAAAATTATTACGGCTCTCTCACCATGTATGTGTAGAAAGAGTTCTTGAATCCTGGGACACTATCGAACATTTTTTAAACGAAATGATTTGGAACGATAAAAACAAACCTGGGGAAAATATTTATATCAAATATGATGCTAAATGTAGATACAAAAGCATATTTATCATTTCTACAGTACATTTTAAATTTTTTATATGTATTTAATACATTTTTTCAAGTTACAGAAACAAGAATTTATTTGTTGCAGCAAAAATCACTGCATCTTCTAAACGACGTTTCCAAACATTTTGTAAAACCGAATCTTTTAAAAGATGTACTTTATATTAAATTTGGAACATTGAGAATAAAAAATCTTTGGAGAATATTAATTTAAAATCAGAAGGCAAAGAATATCTTAATAATTTAATGAAAGATGAATGTACAAATAAAGCAAGTCATTAGAAAAAATTATTTAGATTTTATGTAACTGCCAAAGAAATTCGCAAAAGATTACCGATTAAAGATCAATTTTTATTAAAATTAAGTGTTTTACAGCCAAATAAATTACTTAATACCGACAGAGAAAAGTCATTTAATGACATTGCTTTTATAGCTAAAACCATCAGTGTTTTCGATGAAAAAGTTTATAGAAAGAATATTTATTGCATTCTGATTTTTTAGTAATGGAGAAATATAATTTTTTTAAATTAAATTTAGTAGGAGGGTTTAGCTACAGCTAGACGGGTTCTAATCCATTATGTGTTAATACGTATACGTATACAGAAGGGAAAGTGCATTTAGACGCTGGGTCCGAGGGAGAGGAAGTGCGTGATCGGGGGTGTTAGAGAGAAGGGGATGGTTATTCTTTCATTCTCTTTCACCCATTGCGTTCTAACCAGTTGTCTTCTCTCTCTCTCTCTCTCTCTCTCTCTCTCTCTCTCTCTCTCTCTCACATACCCTTTGCAGTCCTATACTTATTATTTGCACTTTCTCTTTCGTTGCGCTCTCTCCCACGTCTTTTCTTCTTACACGTGATTTAATTAAATAGATATGGTATTTACGTTTTTTAATGATACGACTTAGAAACTAATTATGATAATAATTTTTAGTAATGCTTTCTTATCGACTAATTCAATATTTATTGAATTGTACTGAACAGCTATCATTAACTAATTCTTAATTACAGGGAAAGAGGGAAAGAAATCAAAATATATTTAAAACATTTCATGCTTTATTTTAAATTTAATTTATTTTATTTGGCGTTGCGACCACCAGTTGTATATTTTAACCCTTTCGCTACGAGTGTCGCCTATAGACGACGTCAGCGTGATACCACTTGACCATGAGCCCCGCGATGTTTTTATTTTTACGCATACTACACATCGATCACACTTGTCTCATTCTCTTGTTTGTTCGCATTTGTTTTAAACAAGTGAAATATAAACATGCATTCTTCTGGAACAATTGGGCCAAGAATCATGCTCCAGTCTCCTTCAAGCTGTCAGTGGCTAATATTCAACCGTCTTGAATTAATTCGAGTAAAGGTATATTTTGAACGGGGGGAAATATATATATTTGAAAATATATATATTCTGTACGTCGAAACAAGTTTCTTCTGTATTCTATTCGAGAGTGAAGTGTTTGTATTGTACAAAAGTACAACGTAACAAGAAATCTTCCTTAAATTATTAGAAGAAATTGGATAGCAGCTGTTAAGTTTTCAAGGTTTGCAACATTTATTTGAAAATTTTACTTGGTGCTTTGTTTAGTTTGTTTTATAAAATCTTTTTGTACCTCCCTTATTAGAATGTCACAGAGAAGCTCGAAAAGAATTCCATCCTCTAATGGCTTAACTGACTCAGACAGTGATTCAGATAATGAAAATCAAACTAATGTAATACGACACAGAAATAGAAGAGCTATATGTAGTATTGTGAATCAGAAGCTGAACAGATTGAAACCCATGATAATAACTCTGAAGTATGGACGTCAAAAACATTCGTCCCCAAAATATATAAGTTTGCGGTAGCGGACTCAGGAATTAAAAGAAATATTAATAGATCAGCAAAAATCTTACACTTTTTCCAACTTTTACTTTCTAAAGAGCTCGTAGAGTTGATTGTAAGGGAAACTAATCGATATTGGTCTCGAAAGAATAATAATAACGTAAATATGTCAGATGGAACAGGACTAGCCGAATTATATTGTTTTTTTGCTGTGTCATTATTGATGACACGCAACAAGAAGTTATCATTAGCAGAGTACTGGAGTAAAGATAAACTTCTACGTAGCGATATTTTTGGAGAATTAATGACGAGAGACCGTTATTTCAAATTACTGCAAATGCTACATTTCACCGATGATGTTGGTCGTACTAATGATCATTTGTACAAAATACGAAACGTCGTTGAAATATTACGAAAAGCATTTAATGAATCATTTCAGCCTTACCAACGGCTATGCATTGACGAAAGTCTGCTTTTGTATAAAGGGCGGCTTTCTTTTAAGCAATACATACCATCAAAGAGAAGCAGATTTGGTATAAAATCGTTTATTTTGAGTGACTGTGAGACAGGGTTCGTGCAAGATTTAATAATTTATGCCGGATCATCTACCATGGTGGATACTGAAAATCTAGATATTGGAAAATCTGGAGCAATAGTGGAAACCCTTATGAAGCCGCATCTAGGAAAGGGCCATACCCTTTATGTAGATAACTGGTATGCGAGTCCCGCTTTATTTAAGTTTTTACATAATAATGGCACAAACGCGTGCGGGACCGTAACAAAAAGGAGAAAAGGAATGCCCAAAATTGACAAACGATTAAAAAAGGGGGAGGCAGCATTTAGATCATCCGATAACTTATTAGTCTTAAAATGGATGGATAAGAAAGAAGTGTATATGCTTTCTACAATGCATACAGCAGAATTTACAACGGTAATCAGGCACGGAGGAGAAAGAGTTATCCAGAAACCTGTATGCGTGTTAGACTACAACAATTCAATGGGTGCAGTGGATAAAGCTGATATGGTCATAAGCACTGTGAACTCGACACGAAAATCTTTGAAATGGTACCAGAAATTTTTCTTTCATTTGGTGGACATTTGCGTCTGGAACGCTTATTGTCTGTACAAGCATAAGATGAAACGACCGATATCTATGGCAAGATTTCAATTGCAATTAATTAGGGAAATACTGGGAAAGTACCATCAAAGTATAAGTCATCAACATCTAACGGGGAATAATCATCCACTGAGATTAACAGAACGACATTTTCCGTCGGTTTATAAATCGGTAGGAAAAAAACCAAGAAGAAGGTGTGTCGTTTGCCATGCGAACGACAAAAGACGCGAAACTGTGTATGAATGTAAAAACTGTAATGTGGGATTGTGTGTCGACCCTTGCTTCAAAATTTATCACTGTGAATTAAATTATTGAGAATTTTAATTTGTTATTAGAAAGTGTTTGTTGTTTGTTATTGTAAAGTGTAATTTTTAATTTTAAAATATATTTTTATTGATAATAATTGCAAAATCTCCAAATATGTTGTTGTATAACACTTAAAGAATCGTACGATCCGGATAATGACGAGGCTGCATCGAAAGATGTAAGTCCAAACACCAGTTTATCTAAGCGCAACATGCACACTTTCTGGCGCAGTGCTCCGTTCAGTACCGCTACTCCGGCGGCACGGTGGCCCGTTCAGCGGTGTCACTCCGACGGAGCACACTGCCGTAGCGAAAGGGTTAAATATGTACATTTTGTAACGCACAGTCCTTAACATGTTTTACACATCGCATAGTATTAGTAACATCTAGATTAAAGAATCTGTATCTTCGTAATCAGCTTCCAAGATCTCAATGGTCAAGTCGTTATCGTATATAAGAACTTTATTATTGTCACTCTCTTCCGCATCAATTACAGCCATTATAATCAGGCGTTCGCAATGCTGTAAGGGATCATCCCGTCTTCCCATTCCATGGTGATAAGCACTAAGCCAGGAAGTGCAATACTTTTCTGATTTTGTCAAGAAATTCTATGGCATGGGACACGTAAAAATGTAATGAGAGAGACTGGCTCCTTTTCTCAACATCGCCACTTTCTTCACGATAAATTTCTTTCCAATGATAAATCCTTGCAGATACCATGCTATACCACAAACGTTGGTATAGCCATGGTAAACGACTTTTCGAGACCGCTCGATCGCAAAGAATCTTGGTTTTTATCTCTTGTATTGAAAAGAGGGAAAGTATTTTTTCTTTCAGCAATGATAATTTACGTAATCTTGCGTACTACGTAGGCTACTGGAAAAGTTTCTGCAAACAATATGAAAAAAAACATGTAAAATTTGGTAAATGACTTTATTGTTTTTCGAAGTATTCGCCTTTAAGATCAATACATTTTTGCATACGTTCGAACCAATTTTCGAAGCATTTTTTCCATTTTAAGGCTGTAATCTCAGAAATCAGTGTACGAAATGTTTTAACAGCTGCTTCAGGCGACTCAAATCGCTCACCACGCATCTTATTTTTAATGTTTGAGAACAAAAAGAAGTCATTAGGTGATAAATCAGGTGAATATGGACAATGAGTCATCAATTCGACATTATTACTGGATAAAAAATCAACGGTTTGACGTGCTGTGTGATAGCTGGCGTTATCATGATGAAGGATGATGCGACGATTTCGGTTTGTTCTACGCAATTAATTTATGACTTCTGGCAAACAAATTGTTGTATACCAATCAGTATTACAGTCCTTCGATCCTCTAAAGCCACGGTTGTCACATGTCCGGTATAACCGAAGAAACAAGCAATCATTTGCTTGGCAGCACTGTGTGAAAGAACAACTTTTGTTGGTTTCGGTTCATTTTGAAATACCCAAATAGTGGATTGTTTACTTTCAGACTCATACGAATAGATCCATGTTTCGTCCCCAGTAACTATGTTGTAGACCAAATTTAACCGACCTCGGTTGAATTTCTTGAGCATTTCTTTGCTCCATTTAATACGAGCCTGTTTTCGAGCTTCGATTAAATTGTGTGGAATCCAACGACTGCAAAGTTTCCGTACGCTCAAGTGATCATGCAAAATCGTATGTATTGCTTTCATGTCAATGCCTAAGCATGCCTGAATCTCGCGGTATGTTATATGCCGGTCTCGCTCAATTATTTCACGCACAGCATCAATAGATAGTGGCAACAACAGATATGGATGGATGACTTCACGGAATTCATCACTAAGAAAGGTACGTCCACGCTGGAATTCGGCAAACCAATTATAAACAGTCTTATTGGATGGTGCTTCATCCCCAAATGAAGTCGATCGATGTATTGTTTCGGAGTTAAATTGCATTTGTAATAGTAAAAAATAGCCCGAAAATTTGCACGCGAAATTTCCATTTTTTTACAAAATAACTTCTTTTAAAATACTATGCAAACAAAACTAGTTGGCTTGGGTACAAACTGTCAATTGAATTATAAGTTAAAAACGTCTTATTTTACGGATATGATAGTAGCAGAACGTTGGCGTTACTGGAAGTACTAGATTGCAGAAACTTTTCCAGCAGCCTACGTAGCTGCACATGCAGAGATAGAAAACAAAATGCAATTGGCGATTATTTTTAATCTGTCTCGTCTTGTGCAACCATAGCAGGCAATCTGGATATTGTCCATCGTGGCCGCATTATCGGGAAAGTGGAATAGGTGTGCGAGATATTGCACATCAAATTCTTTGCTGCAAAGAATGTTCGTAAATGCATCAAGCGATGGCCGGAAGAGGAAGTGGAGGGATTAAAGGACAAGAGGAAACACAATCAAAGGCAGCGATTGACAATCGCCGAAGAAAATAAACTCCTTGTCAATCAGGTAAATTTGAATCTTTTTCTTCCGGTGTAAATTTCTCCGCATGCTGTAAATCAATTAATTAGATTTATAGATATCTGATAGGACAGCACAAAGGCACTTACACGAAGCGAGAGTGCATCATGTTGCACGTAAAATTGCTCTAACAAGCAATCATCGCGATAATCGTGTCGCTTTTGCGCTGTATCAAATAAACACAGCTTCACCAGAAGATTGAACGGACAAAAAAGTATTTTGTTCGGCGCATGATAGCCGCCTACAAGTATGGAGGCCCGAAAATTATCGCTGCTTCGATCCTAAATACGTGATTTCACACGAACGAAGTGGGCGCATCACTTGCGTTATGTGGAAATGGATAAGTGCACGTTGTCCTAGAACTAATCGAAATGTCGTCGCATATGAATGCCTTCAAATATGTAAATATTCTGGATGTACTGCTTCCCAGCGTTCGAAGAATATATATCGAAGAAGATATACCGACATTTCGATTTGTTTATGATAATTGTGCTGTTCATACTTTCCACATAGTAAAAGAATGGTTTGCACAACACTCAAAGATTGAAGTTCTTGATTTACTATCTAAATTCCCAGATTTTAATTTAATTGAAAATGTTTGGGGAGTAATTGCGAATTTGTGGAATTGTGATCATGAGAAAACTAAAGCAAATCTTGTTGCGCACGCGACGAGCATATGAAAAGACTTAAGGTATAAGTCTCAATACTTCAAAAAATTGAGCGGTTTGATACAAAATTAATTAGCACAAGTAGTTGCACGAGAAGGATACTGGACCGATTACTAAATTGATCTCAGTATTTAAATAATTCTTTTCAGAACTAACAAACGGTTCTTATCAAAATCACCGTATTTTTGGACGAAAGAATACTCAAGTAGGTTATACTAGGCGGATTCTAATTCAGGGGGCTAGAGAGGAGCGCGGAGCGCGGGGAACACTTGGCGACGCGGGGGTACTCGTAGGCGCGGGAAGGGGGGAACAGATTATAGAACTATAGAATTCTAGATGTCACAAAAAAATCGTAGGTAACAAGAGCTCGCATGTTAGGGAAAGACAGCGCGACGATGTCGGAGCGTGTAACGTAATATGAGTGAAGAAAGGACGGAAGAAATGAATCAATAGATTAACTTTTTTTTTATGATGTAGTTTTTTCACCATGGTTTTTATTAGCGCGAGGTATAGGATGGGGAGTAAAAGAAAATACATATGTAGTAACGCGAACGAAAAATTTTTTATTCACATCTTATTACACTGATTTTTTCTCATATTTTATTACATTTTTTTTCGCGAACGACAGCGTTCGAATGCGATCGACGGCTTCAACATCGCTAGCAGCGCTTTCTGGAAAAAAAGAGAACGAAAAAATTTTTTTATTACTATTCGCTTTTTTAACAGAGAATAAAATGCATTAGCACTAATCACTCTAAATGCGATACCTTATGGCTTATATTTCGATGGCCTTGATGATGTTGGCGATTTTGATGCTTTTTCACCTGGACATTCCCAATATCTCGCTTTTTCTCTCGATGGTGGTAGACTTGGCGGACCTGGTGACAAGGAACGATACTCCTTCGATCGATTTTCGACGGATATATTCTTTTCTCGATCCATATCTTATAGCTCGTAATCGAAATTTACGATTGAATGAAAAAAAATTATATACACTGTATATATGCACTATCGGTGACACATCGCTTCGCGTTAAGAGAAGTTCGGCTGCTAAACAAAAAACATAACTCTTCTGCAGTAAATATGGAAGACAAGATATGCAGGTATCCGCACTAGTGCTCCAAGTCGAACACACCTTTTTTTTTGTCATCGATTTCTCTTTCATTGGACTGGAACATGCGTTCTCTCGTCTAGACAGTATTTACTTAAATTTTACAATCGGCAATATAAAAAATTAAAAGCTACGCTTTGCGACCCTACATTTTTCTTCCAACCAATCAACTTTCTGTTGTTGACGAGAAAACTCTTCAACTTGCTTTTACGAGTTTGGAAATATGAGTTTTATCTACACACGATTTCTGATCCACATTTAGATTGTGTATTTACTGAATCGATCGTATTAAATAGGATTTTCTTTACATGGTAACTTTTGATGTAAATTTTATTGCCGTAGATCAGGCGATTCTGAGGATCTATGTTTTTGCTTATGTTTCCAATATCGTTGGCAAGGTTTCTAATGACACGTTTCTGGAATATTGTCATGCTTGCCGATCGGTAACCGTTAACGCTCGAGTTTTATGTTCGCGATTTGTCTTAACAACTATTTCGGTCGAAATTTTCACGAAACGGAGAAAATCGTGAAGTTCACTGGACGTAATATATAATAGCTCATAAGTGCTCGACACCTCAGTTGACATCTTGGAAGACGAACGAATCGATAATAAGAGCAGCGTGAAAAGTGTGGCTAACCGTCGTGCGAACATTGAGAACATAGCCAACGTAGTCGAGTATTAGAAACGTGGATCTGGAACAGTTCGCGATTATTAGAGAAAAAGTGTTCGAAGTGTTAGAAGAAATGGATGTAGATTTTGGAGAAATAATGGACCAAGATTCCGACGAAGAAGTGCTATCCGACGATACTGGAGTAGCAAAGCTACGTATATATGAACCCATAGTGGAGTCCGCGGAGTGAGGACGAAAAACTGGTCGAGACAGCTATTGTGGTGCGGGGGGTCCGCCAATGAGCGAGCTGCTTTTTCCTCCCACCACCTCTCGTAGTTTTCCTCCCCGACCCCCGTCCCCACGGGCGCATGTGTGTGTGAGCTCGTGACGTCACGACATGCCGGCGATCCTGCGAGCTCGACAGCAGACGAATGACAGAGGGAGTTCGCACGTTTTTTCCCACGTACACTGTCGCACGCGCTGTCTCACTCGCACTCGCTCTCGCTCGCACCAACGCCGTTCGCCCGACGTCGTTCGCTCGCTCTCGCTCGCATTGATGGATGCGGAATTAGAAGATTTGATCTCTTACGACGGATGCGTAGGAGATTATGTTTCTCACTCGCACCGACTGATGCGTATTAAAAGATTTGATCTCTCACGACGGATTTGATCTCTCACTTGCACTTATGCTGCGTATTGTTTTTCGTGATGACACTTTATTGCGTTCGATTTTACCACCGTTTCCCCACACACTTTTACTGTATTTTTTTATTGTTAGTTTAATAAAAAAGATGTCAAATAAGAATCTATCGTTTTGCCTCAATTTCTTTTTATATAGTTTTTGCGTATCCCTGTTAGATATAATACCACATCCTTAAAGATGCGATAAGAATCTATTGTCTCCCTTTCGGATGCGTTCTCTTTCATGATAGTACTTCAATTTCCTGTTATGCAGTTTTGCGCAGTTTTGTCTTCTTGCTAGATATCACAAAAGATGCGACAAGACTCTATTATCCCCCTTTCGGATGCGTTCTCTCTCGCATGACGTTATTTCAATTTTCATAAGGGTGTCTATTTTTATGCAGTTTTGTGTCCTCAATAGAAACCACATCCGTTAATATGTCTGATGGACAATAGTATATAAATGCATATGGGCGAGGCTTTTTCATCATACATACTTTTTTATGATTTTGAACGTATTATTTGTGTACTACAATGGAGTCTCAAAATAAAGAGGTCGAAGAGCTACCGACGAAGTCCACTGAGAAATCTTTAGAACAAGTATTACATGAGGAAGAGGAATACGTGTTCGATGAAACGTATATGTTATATAATCGATTTAATATATCAGACGTGGATTACGAATACATTTATCAAAAATTTGCGAATGATGATTGGATACATACAGACCTATATGGTAAAACAGTGAAAAATAGACCCGAATACGATACGTATGAGGGAGGCAAAGACAATGAAAGATGCATTAATGTCTTTTTTGGATGCATTGAAGGAACGATAGGTTTGCTGAATTCTATGTATTCTTTGGAAAAGTTGAATCGTTTCTTCTCTACCTCCGAGAGCAAAGTGTTGCGTCATTTGTTTATGGAAGATTTCATGACGAGAAATACATTCTTCGAATGATTGCATGATCCGAAGGAGTTTGTTAGACGTCACACGTCGACACTTATTGATGCACCGAACGTCGATTGTGATTTTCACATCGTCACCAGAATTGACATCTGGATGCGCTTTTTGCTTCAACCTCGAAGCAGAAAACCGATGGAATATCTCAATATGTTACAAAATTGGAAAATGGTCATTTGTACACCGTGGAAACTCCGGAAGGATAAACTGGACATCAGTTGATTCGTCTAGATGTGTATGATATTCATGATATTAAAAATAAGGAAAAACGTCAATGGTGGAAATATGCAAAATTGAGAACGCAATTTTTGATATCTTTCCCCAGAGATCGTAAGCAGCAAATGATGAATCGGCTTTTGGATTGTGTAGCTGACGATTTGAGGAAAGTACCTCAGTAATGAAGGAAAGAAAAAACGTTTATTAAGAAATATAGTATAGGAGAGGAAAAGACGTTCTGCATATGATATTCACACGTTATATTTTTATCACATATTCTACAATATTTACTTACACATATTCTATTTTATAACATGTTATATTACTATTTCACTTTTACTTGCGATTGTTCCTTCACATTGAAAGAGCGAGACACACATCCTCAGCGGGACATGATAAAAGAGACGCACCTCACGATTATCTCATTAGTTTGGTTTATTCGTTTATGGCGACATATCTCGACGTTCATCGTTATGGTGCCGACATTCGTTGATTTGCAAGGTATATTTTTTATCTCTTGTTTGTTTTTTACAAATATGTTTATTATTTTTTCTTAAATCGGTATGTATGTTTTTTGTTAAGGGTTTGTCATGGATAAGCGATTTGTTGTCAAGGAAGTAGTAGTTTTAAAGAATGGGAGTGAATTGACACACTATATCTTTACGTGTCCGATGCCATGGCGTTTTCTGACGAAAGCTGATCAATCGCACGCCTCATTGGCACATCATCACGAATTGCGGTGGAATGATGAAATGGATGAAATGGTAATAATATCGTATGGCACAGCATCTGATTTCAGAAGCTGTCATTGGAGAGAGTGAGGCTATTGTTTATGTGAAGGGACTTGAAAAGCAGGGGTGGTTACTGGACATTTTGAACAATGATGAAGTTATAGTTGAAACGAATGATGTGCATTATGATGAAATTGAATCGTTTGAAAATCTAGACGCTACCAATACGTTTCGGTGTGGAAGACACGGTAAATGTTGCGCGTTACAGAATGTATTAAAACTATTTAATCAATGGACGCGATTTCAATGCAAATAATACGTGTTTCTTTATATACATACACACACACACACACATATATATATATATATATATATATATACATGTATATATACTCGATGTATGTGCTCATTATAGTATGCATTTTATTAAAATTAAAAGAAAAATTTGAACAATGGATTTTCTTTTCGTTACACATATCCTGTGTGTATATGGTATATGTGCGTGTGAAGATACCACATCCCTTAAATATGATAAGATGCGTCATGGTTGCCTATGTCTCTTTCGTACACTTCTTTTATTTTTAATATACGTATTCTTGTTACAAAAGATAAGATGGGGTTATGGTTTTTGATGTTTCCGACGATGGAATGATATATAAATGCGTATGGGGTAAGGTTCTTTTCACATTGGTTTCTTGAATGCCTAATACGAGGTCTGTTCAAAAAGTATCGCGAATTTTGAATTTCCGCGGGTTACGTATATTCGATTTTCGATTTTTTGTGGCGTTATGTTGGTGGACTCATGTCTCTCACTTATGCCGACAAGTTCGGCCATTTTGAATGTTTAATTAATTTTTGACAGCTGCTTTGCTTGCACGTGTTTTGGCTCGTCTTCAATTTTTGCCTATTCCAAAAAATGGATCAAAGAATCTGTATTAAATTTTGTGTGAAAAACAAAATTAAGTGCGCGGACGCATTCCGAATGTTTACTGTGGCATATGGTGAAGCTACCTTGGACCGAAGCCACGTTTATCGGTGGTACAAAATGTTCTCAGAGGGCCGAGAAGATGTGAACGACGAAGAGCGTGCCGGACACCCGAGCACGTCAACAACAGACGAAAACATTGATGAAGTGAAGAAAATAGTATTGGCCAATCGTCGAATCACCGTTAGAGAGGTTGCTGAGGACCTAAACATATCGATTTGCTGGTGCCATTCGATTTTTACCAATGATTTGGGCATGAGACGGGTCGCCGCGAAATTCGTACCAAAATTGCTCAATTTCGACCAAAAACAGCATCGCATTAACATTGCTAAGGAGCTGTTGGACTCTGTCCGCGACGACCCAAATTTGCTCCAGAGGGTCATAACTGGTGACGAATCATGGGTTTATGGTTATGACGTGGAAACCAAAGCTCAATCATCCCAATGGAAGCTGCCGCACGGGCCATTAAGCCATAAAGACGACATCGAAGGAGGAGCTGAACAAAAAATAATTTTTTGAAGTGCTTCGAGGATTGGAAAAAACGTTGGCACAAGTGTATAATATCTGATGGGGATTACTTTGAAGGGGACAAAATAGATATTCATGAATAAATAAATAATTTTTGAAAAAACACAAAATTCGCGATACTTTTTGAACAGACCTCGTAGATAGCGTCGTTTGGAATCTTCTTGAAGATCAGCTCGTATAGACCTTTGTATCTCACTCCGTGTATAATTATAGTGTTCGTATCTACGTCAAATTTTTTATTATCTAACATCGTACCGTTTTCATCAAAATAAACACCGTAGACAAGATCGATTTCGTTTCTGGCATTACCAGTTAAAAGAGTATTCACATATATTTGTCCTAATGGTCCTAATTGACTTTGCAATCTCTGACGACCTTGAGGTGTGCTCAACACCAGTCTGACAGACGTTTCAAGCGAAGAATCATCACCAATTTTAAAAACTTCTTCGTCCTGCAAGTCAAAAGGAGTTACTTGTTGTTGTTGTGATTCTATTGGTATGGAATGAATTATGAACGAATTAGGCATGATGTTTGATCGTTTCTTTTTTATTTGTTTGTTCCATGAAAGACGCTGGGAAATAATTTGTGTTGGAATTGCATCATTATCATCGTCGTCGTCGTTGTCATCATCATCCTCATCATTGTTGTACTCACGTTTATGCTACCTAAGGAAGGCGCTTTGTATTTAAAGTCTTAATATTTATATAGACGGTCTTGTTTCCAATCATATTGTTTATAATACGCGCGCTTATACATGCATAACTCACTATATATATCGGTTATTGCGATGAGTGTTGCTAAGGTCTCGGTAGTCTAAAGGCTCAGGACGCTCACACGGAATGTAAGAGATCCGGGTTCGACTCCCGGCCGAGGCAATATTTTTCGCAATAAGTTTATTACAGTTTTTTAAGATTTGGGAGAATTTGGGGGGATTATTTGTTTCAGATTGATTGTGTGAATCCGATAATTTCATCGGCTCTCAATTTATTTCTGAAATATTAATTCAATTTAATTAAATGTATATTAGATAGTAGTTCAACATCTTAACACTCGGACCGGGAAGGCGCTTTGTATTTAAAGTCTTAATATTTATATAGACGGTCTTGTTTCCAATCATATTGTATTTGAAATCGTTAAAGCCTCGTC